CATACAAACACCTGTATGAGCATCTCTAACAGGCTGTCCTTACCTGTAGTACCGATACAAACACATGTGTCGGCATCTCCGACAGACTGTCCTAACCTTTACTATATACAAACACCTGTGTCGGCATCTCCGACAGACTGTCCTAACCTGTACTATATACAAACACCTGTGCCGGCATCTCCGACAGACTGTCCTAACCTGTACTATATACAAACACCTGTGTCGGCATCTCCGACAGACTGTCCTAACCTTTACTATATACAAACACCTGTATCGACATCTCCAACAGACTGTCCTAACCTGTACAACATACAAACACCTGTATTGGTATCTCCATCAGACTGTCCTAACCTGTAAAACATACAAACACCTGTATCGACATCTCCAACAGACTGTCCTAACCTGCACAACATACAAACACCTGTATTGACATCTCCGACAAACGATGTATCGACACCTCCGACAGACTGTCCTAACCTGTACAACATACAAACACCTGTATGAGCATCTCTAACAGGCTGTCCTTACCTGTAGTACCGATACAAACACCTGTGTCGGCATCTCCGACAGACTGTCCTAACCTTTACTATATACAAACACCTGTGTCGGCATCTCCGACAGACTGTCCAAACCTGTACTATATACAAACACCTGTGCCGGCATCTCCGACAGACTGTCCTAACCTGTACTATATACAAACACCTGTGTCGGCATCTCCGACAGACTGTCCTAACCTTTACTATATACAAACACCTGTATCGGCATCTCCGACAGACTGTCCTAACCTGTACTATATACAAACACCTGTGTCGGCATCTCCGACAGACTGTCCTAACCTGTAGAACCGATACAAACACCTGTGTCGGCATCTCCGACAGACTGTCCTAACCTTTACTATATACAAACACCTGTGTCGGCATCTCCGACAGACTGTCCTAACCTGTACAACATACAAACACCTGTATCGACATCTCCGACAAACGATGTATCGACACCTCCGACAGACTGTCCTAACCTGTACTATATACAAACACCTGTATCGGCATCTCCGAGAGACTGTCCTAACCTGTATTATATACAAACACCTGTGTCGGCATCTCCGACAGACTGTCCTCACCTGTATTATATACAAACACCTGTATCGGCATCTCCGACAGACTGTCCTAACCTGTATTATATACAAACACCTGTGTCGGCATCTCCGACATACTGTCCTCACCTGTATTATATACAAACACCTGTATCGGCATCTCCGACAGACTGTCCTAACCTGTATTATATACAAACACCTGTGTCGGCATCTCCAACAGGCTGTCCTTATCTGTACAACCGATACAATTACCGTATGTCTTTAAAGGTTCCGAGAAGCGGTATAATCAAATGAAGGCAATGTCTACTGCTCGGTGCCTTATTAGGATGTATGATGATTCTACAACAATACAGTTAACCTTTCAACATTGCATTAGCGTCGAAAATCTTTGAAGAAACTGAAGTGGGATAATTTCTTTCTATGTGCAATTTCCTTCTGTTTAACACTTTTTGTGAACAATTGAGTATTTATATTATCTAGTTTCACTTCCTATTTCGTTTGCTACTTCCGGTAGCCGTAGAATAACTACCTCCTGTATACTGATATATCATATTTTCACTCCTTAAAAGAAAATAAAGAAAGGAAGAATCCGTAATTTACCAGCACGTGTGAAATGTGCTCACCACACTTTATATTCTACAATAAAATATGACTGGAGAATTTCACAATTTTATTGAAGATAATTTATTTACAACCTTTTTATAACTATCCGGTTGACGTTTGCATATCTTTCGTTATATTGCATAGGTTCTTATATTTAGCGGCGTGGTATTACGTAATTGTGAATACATAAATTACACCGAATAAAAAAAAGCAAAAACTGCTCTTTCGTTCTGTCGAGGTGATATGTTGTAGTTGATATAGGGTTCGATACCTTGGCAGAACTGGGCGCCAATCAAAAACTTCAATTTCTAGACTTGTGTCCTAGGTGACCTCCGTTGGTACATCAGACGACACGTATTCCCTATTGGCTGTATATCTAGTCAGTGCTAACATTTCACTATCATTGAAGAACATATTATTGATTAAAAAGTGATCGCTTTGAACCTAATACCGTACCTGTCTATATTTTGCATTTAAAACTTTTGCTCAAGCCATAACGAGCAATTAAAGATTGAATTGACGTCACTGCTTGTGGTCGTTTTGATAAAAAATAACTTTTCTTTGTATATTTTAAAAAAGTCAGTCCAGTGTGTAATATTATGTGTGGTTTGGTGGGTTGTCGCACCTGTCTATGCAGATTGAAGATTTTATTTCTTTACAGGTAAGTTAAGTAGCATAACAAATATATGTTTAATACTAAAACATCACACCACTTAGATTCGGGGATAACGTACAGCGTCACAACAAACACTCCCTTTCCCCTGCAGGCTGTCCACCTGGATTCCAACCAATGTCAGCCAGGACTGACGTGGACAGCTGATTTACACACGTGGTACAGGAAGGGAGGGTTACCTCATAGATTGAAAATGCGTATGACGAGGTTACAAGGTAGGATAAATGACAAGGAAGAGTGCTAGAAATGGGGTGAAGTGGTAAAAAGACGGAGAGTTCGAAGTGCTGGAAATGATTGAAAGTGCTAGAACTGGGAGAGGGTTGAAAAGGCGTAGAGCTCGAGAGTGCTTGAGATTGAGGTTGAGGATAGGAAGTGGAGAAGGGAAGAGATTGGTAAAACGGCGGTGTAGTCGAGAGTGCTGGGGATGAAAGAATGGGCATATCAATATTGCTATTGCTTAAGATGAGGGAGGGGGCGGGGTATGGAGAGGCCAAGAATTCTTGTTATAGCGGGGGAGGGGTTCCAGGTCGGGTGAATGTAGTTCGAATCATTCAGGTTGAGAAATCGTCGAGAACATAGGATGGGTAAGGGGTTTCACTTGAGGTTATACGGATATTATAGCGGAAAAGCGACGAGGTCGACAGTTCTACGGATGAGTGTAGGCGGCTCAGATTGGATGGGCGAGGAAGGACGCAGAGATAAAAAAAATTTGGGTACATGTAATAATTGAAAAGTAGAAGGGATGTCATTATAATTCTAACTGTTGTATTAGCATTATGTCTGGTCCAATGTCAGTTTAAATGACTTTCTGATGCAACGCTTTTCGAATGTAGGCATTCAACGGGAAAATATGGCTTAGGGCTCCAGGAATGAAGTCTTCTTGGATGAGTTACGTCACGTCAATGTTACGTTAGCTTTACGCTTCAGTGTTTCCTTTTTAATGACGGCTCCATCTCCATTCATTATAATAAACCCACAGATTCTATTGCAAACGGTGACGTTATCTTGTCGTGTCTCACTTCACTGAATAGGATGACCGTTAGATGTCACACCTATATTACTGGTATGCCAACAATGCGGTACGTAAGATCTACCTGTACTTACACTTATCACACCTACCGTCCGGATTACTCCCGGTATTATAGTGTCGTAATGAACGATTACGGCGCTAAGTCGCGCTAGCGGTATTATAAGCATTGTCAGCTTTAACAATAAAAATCGACTCAATGGCAATTACCAATAAATTCAAGATAACTCGAGACTTTACTTACAGTTCTTCATATCTGATATATATTTTTTTAGTTTGTTTATTTTAGTTGTAAATTTGGGACATCTATCTGTGTTCGCTTCCTTTTTCCCTCAAAAGAAAATGGTTTGTTTATGCTGTCCATACTTTTAACAATAATTTGGGTCTCGCTTGTCCACTCTTGACCGTCCTAGGAGTCTACTGATGCACGTAATTTGGACACCTATGAGGTCACGGTAGGACGACCGTTACAAAGATTTCAAAGGTAGGAACATATAATTTATCTAGTGAAGCGTACTCGCTGAGAAACCAACCACCGCATTGCTAATTAAAGGTACATGTGCTATTTTCCTGTTGAATTGTGAAATTCAGCTCATTGTCAAATATAAGGAAACAAAACAGGCTGAGTACAGGATAAGAATAAAACATAAATAAACAAATAAGAAAATACGCAATTATGACGTAACTGAAATATAATGAGGTGTAATGGGTGATAAATTACTCCCTAAACTTATAATGTAAAATGTGCAACGGTGAAAGTGAGAAAAAAACTCTTATCAAAGTCGGAACTCAGATCAGAGACGTATAATTTGGCCTGATTCCTAGTTGCAGCTCTCACCTCTTTACTTTTCATTACATGAGACATTACCATACACTTGAAGGGTAGTATTGTATGTATCGTGTCTATGAACCACAGCGTTCCATAGTTTGTCCCTGTGTAGAGTTGCTTTATAAATCTGGTATGAATTTGTCTGGGCTATACCGTTCTCCAGTGAGCATGTTAGAAATATGGGAAGTTGTATTTTTCGTCTGTTTTGATGTAATGACGCCGTATGTACATGTTGTTTTTTCTGTTCCATTTTTTGTGTTGGTTTTCTTTTCTTTTTTTGAACGTTTCAAGTTAGCGTAGCAGCAATTGCCGACTGCAATCAGAAATGTTAAAACATACATTTTAACAAGGCTTGGAGATACCATCATTCATTGGTCTCTGAAAATCTAAGCCTAATGGATGACGACATTTTGCTTAAATCTGATTTAGAAGGCATATATACATAATATACTTTCATTATGACGAGCATGCCTCCCGAGTCGAGAGCATGCAGACACAAAATTATTTACCTCTTACTGTAATCAGTACATGTTTTATATAAATATTTGAGGGGAAAGTTACACACAAAAGCACTTTACTATAGAAGTCATGTTCTTTGTCGTATAAACACACACGTAGTAATGTTACATGTCAGTCAATGTGATACAGTTGATTGAAACGAAACATCTCGACCAATGAGAACGCGATATTTTAATGTAGACACTCCCCTAGCTATCTTTGTCTGCACGCGATAAAAATAACCACACAACACTAGGCTAGCATTGAATGGATATATATCGTGGTGTGTCTAATACTACAGAGCAGCCTGCAGTTGGGATTTGTACTCAATTTCCATACTCATTTGGATTAAATGTTTATATTTTATGGATTTAAAGTGCATTTTGGAGGAAACGTTCGATAATATCGCCAGATTCAGGTAAAGACCGATAGTTGTAAGGGTTAGCAGGTCAGACGAGATTGTAGGTCTAACAAGACTGTAATCACTTCACAAGTGTAAGCGAAGCAGGTGACCAACCTGTCTCCATCATATCTCTTAATTATCTATAATTTATAATGATATTTGGCGAAAAAATAAATGGAATGTTGTCTTATGCTACCGTCACGTGCATGTCTGTAGCGCTATTAATTAGCATAAATGATTGATCATTTTCATAACATGTCTCGTTGTTTTGTTCTGATAAAAATAGTGACTGTATTTGTTTTCTGAAGCACATGCTATTTGTAAACCTGGACATTAACTGACTCCGAGAAAGGCAGGTCACATTTTACATGACCTTTGCTACTTGGCGAGAAGCAGAATACATGCACGTGTATAACAGTATTTGTGCGTGCATGATAATAGACGTGTCGAACAATCGATCTGGTGCCTCCGGTCTCGTTTAATCGTAAGACCAATTAGGCCGATATGACAGCGGGTAATACACATTTTGACAGCGATGTCGGTCAGACATTAGATTGGTCAAGTCTGGACCGTATCAATACACGTTGATGAACATAGTTTTAAGTAATTAGCTCGATCCCATTACAGTTGGCTTACTCTGTGTATTCCCAGTCCACTGTATCTCTACCTATGATGCTAATGTAACCAATTAAATGTCCATAAATTTGTGTAGGGATCTTAATAAAGAGTTCAGTGTACCTTATCTATTACTCCGGACAGGTTGACATACGAGGACATCACAGACCGTGCTAATTAATGGAATACACTGGCGTTTATATGTAAACTGGTCAGCTTGACCAGCTCAGTCTGTCGACTTTATTGGATCACATCCTCCCTCTCAACTGGTACAAAAATCCAGTCAACTTTAACAGGGCACCATTGTTGTGTCTGTATGAGACAGTATCCCCCTGGGTCAGGGTTTGGACATGTGTGTATCTGGCACACTGGCTAATAGCCAGCACTAGGGAACATGTCTAGTATTACAGAGGAATGCCTAATCTCAGCTACCCCCTTATGATAAAGAATATTCAGTTTCTGATGTCTTGGTGTCAACACATCAGAATTATTTTATTATACATTCAGACCAAAGTAAATCCCAGGAAAGTTTTATAGTCATATTTATCGCTTATTCATTGATTCCAAGAATTAAGTTCTATATTTGCATGTTGTCATGTTTTGTTGTCTCACTGGGTGGATTGTCAAACTTCCGTAGATTGCATGATCTCTTCATGTGATGTCATATATATTGTGCAAAATTTATCAGAATATGAAGAGGAAGGGAAAACCAAAGAAACCCAGATGATCGATAAGTGATCAATTATTGTTCCATTTTCCAGCTTTTGGTTCATTGTAACATGATCAGCCTAACATGCGCAGGTAATCTGGTGCTAATCTTATGTTACCTGTATAGTGTGACCTCTCTACCTTACCTGTATAATCAGACATTATGCAGGTAGTGTCAAATTGTAAGATCTGTAGAATATGATGCTGCTTTTTACTACCTGTATATATTGATGTATATTTGTATGTTACCTGTATAATATGACAATTTATACTTAACTTTTTCAATCTAACAATATTTACCTGTAATCTGACACTACTTTTACTTTACCTGTATATAACATGACACTGTATACCTAACTTTCATAAGCTGAAGTAATTTACTTGTAACATTTAACTCTATTTACCTGTTATTACATGACAATCTGCCTGACTTTTACACACTGTTACTACTTACCTGTATAATCTGATCCTACCTATGTAATTCAACAATCTTACATGCCGATACTTACATTAACAAACTTATACAATTTTAAAACACTTCATACCTATAAATGTGATAATCCATTCCTAACCTGTGTAATCTGACATTTTCTGCATACTTGTAATAAACTGAAGTAAATGAATTGAATCTGAGGCCTGAAACTACAGACCTTTATCATGGTATTTCACTAATTTACTCTTGTTGGTTTGAAATTTATCTCTGGGTTTAATAGTAGGAAAAATATGGTATCTAAAAAGCCTGCTATCATTTTAAAGTGGATGTGTGATAAGCAGGCAATGGGATAAAATTATGTAGTTTGCCATTATTTCGAAGTATATAAATGCTCTGATGTAATTGATATGTGTTAACAATTTCGTGAAACTGTTTGGTATTTACATATATTGATATGTTTTGTACACTTTCCCAACTGCATTATGTAATATATACTTTATCTTTACATACAGGCCTGGAGTTGAAATGTTAAAATCACATTTATGTATGATGTATGTTGAAACTACTATCATTTTAACGCTATGATATGTGGCACCATTTAATAGCTATTGTCTCACCATGTTGAAATTTAAACTAATTTACATAGAAATAGCTGTAAGCTTTGGGTGTCTGTTAGTGTGGCAGAGGAATTTGATAGGTTTTATGATTATAGAAATTACTTCTGGTTTAGTGGTCACACAGAAAAACTCCTGTGTGGTGTAATATACATGTGTATTTATACAGATATATGAACACAGATGCTTATTTATGGTGATTATGGCAATATTTGCATACAGGAATGACTATGATAGTGTGTACTGACACTTATGTGTACTGTAGGTAATTTTAAAAAAAGACAATAAAGAAAATGGTTGATTACTGGAATAACTGCATTGAATTACTGAAAATTTTGTTCAGCATATTTCAGATGATTACTGTTAGAATTAATCAGAATTAACAAATTTTTGTTTGTATGTTTCAGATAATGCAAAACACACATCTAGATATCATCCTTAAAAAGAGGAAAAAACGACACTTGTTTTTCTGGTGATGCATTGGTGAATCAACAGCGGACATGTGACATAATTATTTATTTCCCTCATTAATTCAAAAGTGTCTAATTATGTGTGATGTAAATAACAGCTGATTACGTAGGTGTCGGGATATAGTTGATGTGATATTTCTGTTAACATGAGATCAGAGGGATGTGAACAAATTATTCCAACATCTGGATGTGATTAGCACTGAAGTTAATTGTGTATGATAGCAGTATAAAAATGGCTAACAGTCTGTTGAAAAGCAAGCGCTTTTTCTGCCGGGAGTGGGCTTTTAGTAAAATCAACCACTGCCTGGAGAACCGGCCCTCCTCTAAGACCTGTGGTGCTCTGATTATGGGTGGACCTGGGTGTGGCAAGACTGCCTTATGCTGTGAACTTGTGTGGCCAACAGCATCACAGGGCAAGCAGAAAGTGTTAAATAAGAGAATTCTGGCTTTCCATTTCTGTCAGGCTCATGACATTGGCAGTTTGTCACTGGCTAGTTTTATTTGCGACCTTGTTAAACAATTACAGGAGTCCAATCTGATCAGTGGTTATAAAGAGCTGGTTAGTTCCCAAGAAATACAACAGTTGATTAGTCCAAGTGAATGTGAAAAAAATCCTGATGTGGCATTCCAAAAGGCCGTGTTGGAACCACTTTCTTCCTTACAGTCACCAAAACAGACCTTGTTCATGCTTGTGGACTCTGTTGACGAGTCATATTTAACCTGTACCAGTGACAGAACTACTGGCAGTAAAACAATTGCCGAGTTATTAGCCAATCATCACACAGATTTCCCTAAGTGGCTATTACTGGTGTGCTCATCCCGTAAACAGAGCAAGTCAGTCACACGACTGTTCACAGGATTTCGGAAAATTAGTCTGGATGATTTGAGGAAATCTCATGTTGTTCGTGATGTCCAACAATATATCCTGTGTCGCCTGGACCAGGAGGAGGAATTACGACAGCATCTCAGTCGGGACACTGCGGAAATGTTAAACCAGCTACACATCAAAAGCAATGGATGTTTCCTATATTTAGAGAAAGTGTTGGATGGTGTGGCGGAGAATTTTATCATGCTGAGAGAAATTCGTGAAATTCCCGGAACATTGAATGGTTTGTATTTGTGGTTGTGCCAAAGATTATTTGTTAGGAAGCAATTTGCCAAGATACAACCAATTTTGAATGTGATTCTGGCCTCGCGAACACCTTTGTGTGAGTCGGAACTGTTTCTGTGTGTGAGGACAAAAAACACGACACTCACTGAGAAGGAATTTCTAGGTAGATTAAAGCTATTATCTAAGATACTGATAGAAGGACAGGATCAGTGCAAAATACTGTTCCATCACAGTTTTGCGGAGTGGCTGTTAGATGTGAAGCACTGTACACAGAAGTATCTATGTGTGGCGGCTGACGGCCATGGCATGTTGGCGATGCATTCCATGGTAAATGGCCCCAAATTAACTGCTCTGCAAGTACAGGATTTTGCGGGGCATCTGGTGAAGGCTAATTTACAGGAGCCACTCCAGCATCACCACTTGGTACAGATATTGTTGCTCTCAGGAGCTAACGTAGAGGACAGCTTGTCAGCAGGTGTGCCCAAGGAACAGAAGGTTACCAAACTTTTGCTTGACGCTGGTGCGAAGCCTCCAGAGGACTCTGAGGAGGCACAAACAGCAAGTCTTCATGCAAGCATGATAGAGGAAGCAGAAGCTGAACCCAAGCTTCCAATGGAACTTGATATTCCTGTCAATCAGATAGACAGTAACGGTCGGACATTGTTACATACATCAGCACACCAAGGAAATCTGGAACTGGTTAACTTTATTTTGTCAAAATCTGTGGAATTAGAAGTGGTTGACAAGAATGGTCAAACGGCCTTGAACTTAGCTGCTAGACAAGGTCACCCAGAAGTTGTAGCTGCAATTCTGAAGGCTGGTGCTCAAGTTGACCATGCAGATGGAGATGGCTGGACACCACTTCGGTCAGCTGCTTGGGGTGGAAACACTGATGTTGTTAGCTTACTTTTGAGTGCCAGTGCTGATGTCAACCATGCAGACGCTGATCAGCGAACGGCCTTGAGGGCTGCAGCTTGGGGTGGTCATGAGGAAATTGTTTTGAAATTACTAAAACATAATGCTGATGTCAACAAGGCAGATAATGAGGGCCGAACAGCGCTAATTGCTGCTGCTTACATGGGTCATGCAGAAATTGTCAACCACCTTCTGAAATACGATGCGGATATCAACCATGAAGATTGTGATGGTCGTACAGCATTGTCAGTGGCAGCACTGTGTATTCCTGCAAGTCAAGGACATGAGGAAGTGGTCAGCATCCTGTTAGAGCAAGGAGCAGAGGTCAATCACCAGGACAAGGATGGTATGACACCACTGTTGGTGGCTGCTTGTGAAGGTCACATGGACGTTTGTGAACTGTTGCTTGATTCTGATGCGGATTGTGATCATTCAGACACTAAAGGCAGGACACCTTTATTAGCTGCAGCGTCCATGGGACACTCCAAGATTGTGAACCAGCTCCTATTCTGGGGCTGTGCTGTGGATACAATAGATTCTGAAGGAAGGATTGTGCTGAGTATTGCTGCTGCTCAGGGTAATGTGGATATTGTCCAGCAGCTGCTTGACCGTGGTCTTGATGAGATGCATAAGGACAATGCTGGATGGTCACCCCTACATATGGCTGCTTATGAAGGACATGTTGGGGTATGTATATCTAAACTTCATGCGTAGACATGCATTATATCATTAAAATTACATCATTTATCACTCATACAGAGATTTCACTAAATGTATATGTCATACAACTTAAACAAAAATGCATCATTTATATTCACATTTTATGTAAATGATAAGTTTAAAAAAAGAACAGCTGTTTGTGAATAGGCTATCTTTGTGAGTTACTACACATTACGTGTCATTAGCAAATACACCAGTTTTTAGCTGCTGATAGAGATCATTAAGTCTATTAGAGTAAAGCAGATGTCATTCGTCACTGAATGGAGACGGCTAAAGTGGGGGGGGATATGGAAAAAATCAAAATGAAAAAAGTCTGAAATATCCCTTTTTTTTGTACTGGAAAGAGCCAGCTGTTCTACAGAGCTTGTACTATATGCACTCATATGTCTCATATATTGGGTGTTTTATTGGTTGCAATACGGTTGACAGCAGAGTGTTGCACTGTGACATTCCTGGACAGAAAACAAGACTATCCTATTTGCACTACCACTGAGAAAACAAACATTTCGGCTGTTTGAGCTGTATCAATAATGTACATTGCATCAGATTACAGAAGTGATAAAAAGTGATATAGTGGAAGCAGCAAGTTGCTGACAGGAAACTGTGAGGTTGTTACGGAACCTGTTTTCAATTATTACAGCAATGTGTGACTTTCTCATGATCTGCTTTTCATTTTTGCTATGTAGTAAAAAAGATATAGGTCAAACAGTTTTTCCCAAGGGTAATCCCTTGTCAGGATACTGGATCAAGTTCTGGAACAGGTCGGTTTAGAATTGCCATCTGGATGCTGTTAATGGCCGACCCTTGTGTTATAATGCATGCATGGCCTATGATGGTTCCTATCCTAGTGGTAATTGGAATTTTTGTTGGTGGTTTATGTGGCTGGTCTTTCCCACCTGATAGAGATGATCTCTAACACAGTATAAACCATTACTGTTTTAGGTTTTGGGTTGAAATCAGGTTGGTAACACTTGCATTATGTGACAGACATAATCCTGACCTGTTGCATGGGAGTTGCGACTTCCTTCTACTAAAGCACCCTCATTCTTCCTGAGAGTATGGATTAAACTGTGCTCTTTACTTTATTTTCAATTTAATTTGGATTTTTTCTTAGATTATATTTAGAGATTCATCTGGTTTGTCAAAATGCCAATGTTTCGGAATGATAATATTGCAGAAAGCAAGAACCATTTCCTCTCTGCAACATAATGATAATAAAACAAATATGCTTCCTGCCATTAATATTTGTAAACTAACAGAATAAACACAACAAGGAATTAGGGGTCATTAAATGAAGGTCACACAGATTGTGTTCACTTCAGCTTAAACCATTGTGGAGAAGTTCCCCAATTTCCATATTTCATGCTTTTGTATTTGTAAGTGGTTCTGACCAAACATTAATTTAGTATTGGAGAGTGTGAAAGCGTTTGGTTTGTTGTCAGGCACAGATGAAGAGTGTTGTAAGCTTTCAATGGATGAGCACCTGGTATTTACCTTGTCTCGGCCTTGTTTACTGTTCACCAATGGGGTGTGTAGGACAGTGAGATTCTGGGAGCATTGTAGGTCAAGTGAAAATATGAATGAAATTTTGACAGACAAGCCCAAATGTGATATTTATGAAATAGGATAAACTTGGCTCATATAGGTGTCGTCTCAAGAACCAATCTTCTCATTATAATTCATTATATTCATATATTCGTGATTCTTTTGTATGTAGGTGTCTAAAACATTTCATTCAATTCTTGGTATGCAAAGGTAGGGTAGAAATTGTATACAAGTTCAGGCGTGAAGTTTGAAATTACAGATGTAGTATTTTTGTGTATGAAGTTTGAAATTACAGACATATGGTATTTTTCATTAAATGATATTACTCTTACATATGTCAGGAATATCTATCCCTATCAGTCCGAATGTGATCGTCTTCTTCAACAGCTTCCTTGTACCAATCATACAGATATAGTTACCAAGCCTCTCAGTAATTCATGATTGTTTTCATTAGGTTATTAACAGTAGAATGCCTTAAAAACTAACAAAACTGGTTATAGGGTTTAAAGGTTGACAATACAACACATCAATTATTAATAGGAGTTGTGTTACCTGGTATAATGAGACAGTTTGCTGTACAGAAGCCTGATATGGGTATCTCATCAATGTCGCATGCACTGTAGATAGTACTGATAAAGCCACCTTTTTGTAGTTGTATATATACCTACGTTAGTAAGTTCGTTGCTAGTTAGCATATGCATACCCAGTATCTACTTTTTAAGGCTTTCATAATGGTATCACAATTATAGCCAAACATTGAATCTAAAAATTTAAAAGCAGTAATGTTATTTTGGATTAAATCTTTATATGCATATTTAAGGCAGTAAAATAGTTACTGGACCTCTTAACTTGTGGATTTTATTTACAAAAGTTGTTGGCCAGTATCTGTATAACAGCAGGATAAGGCATCAGCCAGGGTGTGGGCTTACTATAGGTAAAATATGGTACATAGATATAAAATATGATAAAACTTTCAGAATAGGTTTATGTATAATACATTTGCATTAATGCTTTATCATAACAAAGTCGTTTTTTGAAAGATGTAGATGTCAAATTTGTCCCCGCCTCAACGAAATAAAAGCTCCACAATTCTCTAAGCGACCAGCTATTACCTGATGTAAAGAAATCAATCTTTGTATATATAAGGTCAAAGACCTGCTGTCCCATTTCATATAAATCTAGGCCAAATCAATGAACCTTATAATATAGGAACTCAATTCTTCTGTCAATCGTGTTGATGTGATATTTTCAGATTTCCCTTGAGCAATATAGTGAATAAACAACCTATAATTTTTTATTAAAGAGAAATGTTATTGATATCAACATGCAAGTTGTGCTGAGTTATTTTGTGTTTTTGTTTCCCGGGTAAATTTGTATTTCTGTGGTCAGATTGACAATCAGATATATTAGCAGGTATACTGACTAGTATCCATATATTTTGTTCTACTTGTACAAGACAAATGGAAATTCAAGAAACTGCACTCAAATTCTTGTACAGCAAGAAAGGCGGGTAACAAATTCTTGAGCTGTCAAATTGACTTCTAGACAAGGACACCTGAGGAGTAAATCTGTAATACAATATATAAAACATTCCTTCTTATTGATTTTTTACTGTCCTGAAATTAGGTTTATAGGTTTACACGCAGTGCACACTTTAACATAGACCTGAATTAAAATAGATTTGCTTGGCTGATGTCATCTGTATATACTGCCGTAAGAAACTACAAAGTAGAATTCTTATTGTAACTTTACCGATTTTTTGCACATTCAGCAACATTTATGTTGCAAGGTAATCACAAACAGTTATTTGTGTAATTATATATGCAAGACATCAATGGGAAAATAGAAACATTAGAAAAGCCAACACTTCTGATGTTTGAATACAAGTACAGGAAAAGGTCACAGACTATCAGTATACAAAATCAAATGTGAAAATATATTTCTTGATCTTTGGTATACATTATATTGTATGTAGTTGTGTCTTTTATATCTCTGAAAATATCCATTTGAACATTCGTTATTAAATAGTTTTTGTAATATGTCTCTCTTATGGTTTCTACCAATTGAGTGCTGGTTCTTGTCAAGCGTTTAGCACACTCATTGATTTAAGGCCATATTACATTTTATGTCAAAATCTTTGAATTAATGAGCATATTATATATACAAATTCAGTGTGGCTGAGTTTAGATGTGTAGCAGTCTCACATTTTCCTGTAATGTACAAATTTTATGGAGGTTTTACCGTCCATGAACGAAGCAATTAATTTCGGAAGACGTTACTGATATTTCTTTCGTTTTTTTACGTTTTAATTGAATAATGACAGAAGGAAGGATAGGGAAATTAAATAAATTAGAAATCGCATCGGACACAAGGCCAGTGCCCTGAGTACAGTAATTAGAACATGACAGTAACTCCTTTAAAAGGAAGACATTGATGTGTAAATGGCTGCCAGGAACACATTAAAAAGAAATGTGGATATCTTCCTGAAAATAATGTGTAACCTATTTAATATTGTTAGTTAAAAAGTAAGATCGAACATAATTTGCAACTGACATCTGAAAATGACATTCACTTAGTGAACTTCCCTTAAAGGGGTGGAAAATAAATACCAGACCAGGAGTGATGATGCAATTTGGAGATAATTTTGTAATGAGCACTTGTAGTCTGGAAATTTGGAGGAGGAACCAGGCATACTTTGTAATTTTGACAACAGGAAAACTGATAAAAGCAACCAGTAGTCTGTTTTTTGCAGTGTTTCCATTATAGAGGCCTTGATAGGGCCTTGCCCAATCTCACCTGCATTTGTCATAGTTCATGCTTAAAAATCAAAAATATTTTTTCATGTCTGGACTAAACCATACATCATACTGCAATTTTGTCTCAAGCAATTCAAAATTACTTTTCATCTTTGTCACAGAAAGAGCCTAATTATCATTGAGCATTTTAAAGCTAACATTATTATCATGGTAGCCATGGCAACAAGAAATCTTTTTGATGATGAAGACATAGGAGCTTTTACTGCTTGATTATCGATTTGAATATGCAAATGTGGGGGGAGATAAAAATCTGCTTTGTTGGTAGTTTTTGTCTTGAAAATGTCATTCATTGGTCTAAATCACAAATTGATTCCTTGTAGTTAGTTTAATGTTTTGATAAAAAGTTTTCGGCTGAAGAAATTATTATATTTTGTGATACCAGGCATAACCACCAGTTATCAATAGGCGATCAATTTGTGGATCCACTGGAGTAGAGAGAAGAATGTGAAACAATTTGTATTGTTGAGAAAGTTCTGCCTCGTATTGAACATTTTTATATTGCTTTTGGTCCTTTATGCACTGTAGCCTCTCTATGACTCACAGACGTAATTTATTTCGGGAAAATGTGCATTTATGTATGTAGAGCTTTAGTAGTTTAGGTAATCT